GAAAATGATATAGGAGAAAAGGAGATGTGTCCTAAGTGCTCCAAGGTTTTCAAAACAGTTGAAGATATGGTTGATCATATATATAAATGTGCGTAGGGTTTAATTGTTAATGCTTGGATTGAGTTGATTAAGTATTTCTGTTGGTTTGATTTTTGTTACTGGTCAAGGAGTGTTTAGGGAGTTTGTTTCACTTTTGGGAGCTTGTGAACAAAAAGATTGAGTTGATTAAACAGTTAGTACAAGGGAGTTTGTTTCACTTTTGGGAGCTTGTGAACAAAAGGATTGAGTTGATTAAACAGTTAGTACAGGCTTGAAGCAGTTTGTCTCGAGGAGGAGCATCAACAACAACATCATCAATGGAGTCCTTTGAATTTGAAAAGTCATCAACTTGAGCAAATTCTTCTTCTTCTTCTGTAACACTTCTCTTGGTTATGTCTTTACTTTGTTGAGATTCTCTTTTACTTTTCTTAATTGATTTACGATTCGAAGAGACCCTTACATCAAACTTGACCGCTTGTACTGCTCTAGCATTATAGAGATTAGAGTTCGGACCAACTGATCAATAAAATAAGCACAATTCATTCAGAATCTTTGGCGGAATTTGATCATATTCTGTAAAGAATCTAACTTACCTACCTGGACGAAGGAGATGAACAAAAGCTGAAGCTCCTCTCCTCCAAGATTGCAGAGCGATGAAACCTATCAGAGATATTCTTCTTTCTTTCTCAAAGTTTGTTGCTTTGATTCATAGAGACTCTGTTTTTGTCAGGAGGAAGAAGGAAGCAGAAAGCGTCGCAACTAGAGGTCTGTGTATCGCCAGCATCATACGGCGTTGTTTATCACATTTCAAGAATATTTTTATTTTCCAACAAAGTTATGAGTTTTTTTTTCCATCTGAATTACATAATGCAATGTCTATCAGAAACAAAGTTGAAATTGTGAGGAGAACTTGTCTCTTTCTTTCTTTTTCTTTGATTAGATTTTAAGTTTGTAGAAACATTCATATCTATACATGATGAAGAGAGACAAAACAAGTGACATATGATGGCTCAGGAACCATTTTTTCGATAGTAAAAACCGAGATATCAGAGAGGGATTTGATAAGTGGAATTGAACATCTTCAATATAAAGAAGTTGCCTTTGTCACCCCTTGATAACCTGCAAAAAGAAGACACATTGTTTTAAGATTCAAAGGTTTTGGATGTTTGTTCATAAAACATGAAAAGCTTTCATTAGTTCCTCGTCTACATACGTAATCTCCAGTTCACCACTTGCGGTATTAGGCGCTTTAATAGGAATCTGCACAGGAAAACATCAATTAAAATCATCATTAACCTGTCATAATAAAGAATCATATGGTGGTTTAAACTGTCATCAATCAATCAGTACATGTAGACAACACTTAAAACCCAACCAATACCCGAACCGTGTTAAAATTACTCTGCTCCAATAGATGACCAATTCATTAAAATAAATTAGCCCCAAACATAAATCTTAACCTCCCAATAAAAGTAAAAGCAAGAGGGGACAATTTAGTCAATACAATCTCATTACTCTCCTCGCTATCGGCCGTGACTATTAGCCCTAGCCGCCGTCTTCTCCCACCCACCACCACCACCGCTGGTTCTCCAGCTCGGACTTAAATAAAACCTCAACATTTCGTTATTCCTCGATGATCCTCCACCGGAACTCCTCCAGCTCACATTACTATTACTCCTCTTAATCTTCGGTTCGTTCCTCATCTCCGGCCATGGATCCGCGTAGACTTAAAAACACAAATATATAGAACAAACAGTTTTTTTTCGAAAAAACGCAATAATATCTGCATTGTCTAAAAAGATCTCAAATTCTTTACACAAATCAAGAATTTTAGGAACTTCATCAATAGTAAAAAGAACAATATTTTAAAATAATTTAAAAATAATAGATTGACGTTTTTATCTATCTTACGCTTTAAGTGAATTAAATAGAACCAATAGCCATAATTAACAAAATTATCACCGGCAGAAAAAACTAAAACATATATATATACTAAACGATTTTTCTGAAAAAAACACTACTCTTAACGATAACCATAAAGTGGTAATTTCGAAAAATAACTACTTAACGGTTTTTTTACGAAAACTCACAACCCAAAAATATTAATTTTTGAAAATACGCAACTCTTAAAGAAAAATAAAAAGCGGTTATTTTCGAAAAGACGCAACTTTTGACAAAATAGTTATAACGAAAAGACACAACTCTTGACAAAACGATTACAACAAAAAGACGCAACTCTAGACAAAGTGGTTTTAACGAAAATATGTAACTCTTGCAAATAACCAGAAAGCGGTTTTTTCGAGAAGATGCAACCCTTCAAAATAACCATAATGCGGTTTAAAAAAAACAGAAAAACTAAACATATATATAGGCTAAACGATTTTTCTGAAAAGACGCAACTTTTAGCGGTTACTTTGAAAAATAACTACTTAACGGTTATTTTCGAAAAGATGTAACTTTTGACAAAATACTTATAATGAAAAGATGCGACTATTGACAAAACGTTATAATTAAAAGACGCAACTATTGACAAAACGGTTTTAATGAAACAATGCAACTCTTAAATATAACTATAAAGCGGTTTTTGTCGACAAGACGCAACCCTACAAAATAATTGTAATGTAGTTTTTTTAAAAGAACTTCCCTCAACCAAAAACCTATAAATAGAAGATGGTTATGCGAAGAAGAAACAATAAAAAAATATTCAGTTTTTTTTGTTTGCTATATATATAGATAATTGAGATTTTGCGGTGTGTTTTGATTGTTGGGAAGTTGGAACAATTGCGATAGGTTGTCTTCATATGCACATGTGAATGTAGTAAGCGCCCACAAACTCCTACCAAAATATTAGAAGTGTTTGAGTTCTCAAACAGGCTTTCCACAACAATCAAAAGCATGCTCAAACTTAAGCCAACTGTAAGAGAATTCTTGAGATGCGAGATAGGAAATGGGGAAGTGGCAGCGTTTTGACACGATTCATGGACGGATTTGGGTGCTCTTATTTCTTATATAGGAGACCAAGGGCCTAGGCAACTTCGAATTCCGCTTCACTCTCGGGTTGTGGATGCTTCAAGAAACGATCATGGCGTTTCCCAGCTGCTCGATCAGAAGAGGTGCAAGCTCTACAAATCCTACTAACGGCAAAATCACCACCAACGGCAGAGCAGGGCCGTGATGTTTTCCTCTTGTGTAACGCCTCAAGCATATACAAGGATACATTTTTTTCCAAAGATACTTGGGAGCAGCTACGACAACACTCGCCACTAATCCCTTGGAACAAAGTAGTTTGGTTTAAGGAATCAGTGTTGCGGTACTGTTTCATGGTATGGTTGGCTCTCTTATCTCGATTACCTACCAAAGACCATATGCGTTCATGGGGAATGAGTGTTGATGCATCTTGTGTGTTATGCATGAATGGCTTGGAAAGTCATGACCACTTATTCTTCACATGCTCTTTCTCAAGTGAAGTTTGGCAATCAATGGCTTCAAGGATAGTCTTAAATCCACCGTCCGACCTTCGTGCCGTAGTCTCATGGATCAATCAGCACCAACAACAATGAGACCCTCGGCTATACTGTGCAAGCTCCTCTTGCAAGTAATCGTGTATCTTTTTTTTTGCGGGAGCGGAACGCGAGAATCTTCATGGGTATTTCGGCTTCACCAGCAACTCTCCGTCACGCCATTGATCGAGTCATGCGTGATCGTCTAATCTTCTTCCCGACAACAAACTTTCGCTCTCCTTCGCTCCTTGAATTTCATTTTGGTTGTATTTCGTTTCCTATGTAATTGTAAATATTTTTGGAATTGTCTGTCACAAGGTTATTTTTGGGTTTGGATCATGATGATGTAATGGATAGTTTTAGGTTGTATTTTCATTTCAAGAAACATAAAATAGTATAAAATCTTAACATTCATACCAAAAAAATAAAAATATTAGAAGTGACGTTTATAGTGATTGTTACCATTATCCCGTTTAATGGGTTGTAACAATCAAATACCTATCAATTATCTATTTATCCCCAAAATATAATAAAATTATCCCATTTATTTCGTTCAAATACATTATAAATCATCATTACTCAAAAATATCAAATTACAAAACATTAATAAAACCAAAAATAATCCGAGCATCGTGAAGCAAAAAGGGTACAAAGAGAGCTTAATTAGGGATGAAAACAACAAATAATATTAATTTCATTTATTAGCAAATCTTGTTCTTGTTGGTCTTCTTTGTCTCCACAAACTTCTTCCAATACGTCGTAACTTCCCTCTTCGTCTCCTCTTCCGTCTTCTTAACACCGTTAACATTTCCGTTAGCCATCTTGGCGTGAATCCTCGCCGGAAGCGTATCAAGCTCGTGAAGAACTTTCTCGAAATCCAAGACCAATCTCTCGGCTAAGGTTCGAGAAAAATCTTCTCGGATCACAACGCGGAGCACGGTTATGTGTTCCGCGTCCGCCGGCATTGTGTAGGCCGGAANGATCCATCCGAAGCGGCGGAGTGTTTCCGCTACTTCGAACTCGTTGTGACGGCTACTGTCTTTCAAAGAAAACGCCACTAANGGAACGCCGNTTTCTTTGGANACAATGTTGAAACGTCCCGTTTTCTCTAATCCTTCTCTTAAGACCATCATGTTTTCCCGACAATTATCCATCACATTGCGATATCCCTATACAAAAAGACATTATTAATGTTTAGTCACAAAATAAATCCAAATTGTTATATGGGTTGAGTTTAGTTTCCTCGGTTTAGAAAGTACAGTGATCACGTTATATCCGTATTTAACATGAATCTGTATAGCATTAACTATACAAAGTAACAAAATTAACCTTATTATTTCAGTCACAAATTCAAATTCTATTTCGATTTAAATTATTACTTTTCTTATGGAAACTTATGTAGTTTACATGATTATGTTTTTTCTAATTTCAATGTTGAGTTACTAATTACCTCGAATCCAAGACGAATTAGTTGGTAGTACTGAGCAATCACTTGACTTGAACCTGGTTCGTATTTACAACAAATCATAAATATATTGACAATTCCATGTGTAAAATATGATATATCTGGTTCAATGAAATATGTATATAATAATGTAATATGTTACCTTTGGAAAAGTTGAGGGTAAATGTGGGTTGATCAGCGCCAAGATAATTGATATGGAAGATAAGTTCTTCTGGCAAATCGGATTTGGTTTTCCAGATATTCCAACCAATACCGGCGTAAACCAAACCGTATTTGTGACCACTCACATTTATGCTCTTAACCAAAGGTAAACGGAAATCCCATTCTAGCTCCGGATACAAGAACGGTGCAATAAACCCACCACTCGCTGCGTCCACGTGAATCGGCGTTTCCCATCTGCAAATTGCGTTTTCAAAATACGTTAAACCGAGTTTGAACCGGTTAAAATCGATTAATTATTAGGTTCCTTTATCGGTTTTCTTGTTTAATTACCCGGTCTGTTTGTTTTTCTCGACTAGGAGGTCATTAAGGAGCTTGACGTCTTCAAATTCTCCGGTTAACGTCGAACCCAGGATGGCTGCGACACAGATTGTGTTCTCGTCCACCATTTCGACCGCCTTTTCAGGGTCCATCACGTAATAACCTTCCCTTAGCTTCACTTCCTTGAGCTCCACTTCGAAATACCTTGCGAATTTCTCCCAGCAAACCTGTATTGAACCGGAAATTTAGTCATACATAGACCTAAACCGGAATTACCAACTATTTGGTATAGTATTTCAACTTTTTGGAGGGATTTGCTTTATTATTTAGCATTAATTGGTCGAACAATTCAACATCTTGGTCTAATATATCAATAGAAGTTTGGTTTCACTATTTGTAAGACAAACTTACATTTTGGTTTAATATTCACTACTTTAGATTTAATATCTCAATTCATTGCTCTATAACGTTTCAAGTTTTTTTGGTTTAACTGGTTTACTATTTCAAATTTTGTTTTGGTTTACCTGGACATTAGCTCCGGTTACGATATTGGGNTTATCATAAGGAAGACCTTGAGCNTTACGCTTATTCTGCCACTGTCTCTTAAAAGCCAATCCGGCCAACATAATCGCCTCCGACGATCCCACGGTGCCAACACCAACCGCAGTCTCTCCATCACCGAGCGGCGCGTTGAAGAGACGCGCGATCATGTTGACGCAACGGTTTTGTAACTCGGTGGTCACAGGGTACTCGTCCATGTCGACATAGTTCTTGTTGATAGACTCCATCATNAGNTTGTCACATTCTGGCTCCATCCATGTGGTCACGAAGGAGGCTAGGTTTAGCCTCGGGTTACCATCGAGCATTAACTCGTCGTTGATGATTTGGTAAGCTGCTTCCTTCGGGATAGAATTTTCAGGCATCTCGAATCTATTATGATGATGAAAACATTACGTTAAAATTATCAAAATACCAATAACGCTAGAACTAGATTGACGTGCGTGTGGTATAAAAATACTTGATTTTGGATTTAACAATACCAACAATAGCTAAGTACTATCGTGGAGGTATTAGTATCGTCATTGATAACAAAGAAAGAAAAATAATATGGTATAAATTTTTATTAAAACCCATAACCCATATGTAGATTGAAAATGTATCCAAATAATTCGTTTTATTTTGTTATTATTAAAAATCCGAAAAAGAGTCCAGCTGAAAACCAGATCAATGATTTTTAAAAATTATTTATTTCTTTTGT